TAGTTCATCACATACACCACACTACACAACTCCACTTCACATGTCACACTACAATACACTAGACCACACTATATACCATACTAAACTAAACCCCACCACACAACATTACACCACTCCTCACTAAACTACACCACACCAAATCACTCCACATACCACACTACACTACACTGCAATAAATCACACCTCTCCACACTACATCACATCGCACCTTTCCACGCAACTACACTACGCTACACTACACAAATCTACGCTACACTACACAAATCCACACTACACATTACTACACTACACAAAACTACACTTCACCGCACCTCTCCACATACCATATCACACTAACCTATACGACACTGCACTAAACTAAACCACGTCACATCATACCATGATACACTAATGTAATCCGGTACAATTTGATTACAATAAGGTTCTTGGATGAAATAAAACTATGCTTGTCGTACATATTTTAATATTTCGACTTGTATTCCTACAGTAATATTAAGTAACATTTGAAAATGAAACCGTAGCTTCGTTAACAGATAACACTTTCTTGCCTTTAATAATATAAAATATTATATCATATTCATACAGCGCCCAAATAATTCACGAAGTAACACTTATGAGTGATGCACATTTTTATTCTGATGCATTGGCTACATCCTTAGGTTAATTGTTTAAATCATCTCAACTTCTGAGGAGAATACATCACCTGGTATAAGTGAAGTGTAATAAGTGCCAATCAGTTCATACCAGGTACGTATTTATTCCTGGGTAAAAAGAAACGGCGTGAGTACCTTGACCACGCCAAATCTCCATATTCATGAACTGGGCATTTAAATCAGTGTGTCACGTGATCATCGAGGAACATCCCTGCATAATAATAATCTGAAGTGGGATCGTTGCATGTAGGTCTTATGAGAAGCTACTACAGACAACTATTGTCGGTAATATTAGTCTGAAAGGTATGTAATATAACTCAGTTAATATATTGTATTATGTGTTGTGTGTATCGGCAGTGCCGAAGTCAATGTAACGATATGCATGCCGTGAGAGGACAGTGGTACTGCAGGCTTATATTGGAACAAAATAGTAATCAATGGAATCTTGAGTTATACAGAACATTTTGAATAATTATATCAATAAGCTTATGTGATTTCTTCGACGTCTCTATGGCCGATATATACATATAATGTTTAATGAAAGTTAAAAGTGCCCTAAATTGGAGCGATTAAGACGGTATATATACGTATATTATAAGGTTAATACGAGGATACCTCAAAGTATGCACGAAGACAGTGCAGCTGGAGTATCGACCAACGCGCAGCATACTTCGAGACATTCTCGTAATAACCTTATTATTATATATCTTTCCCTTCCAAGGATACACCATGAGAATCAGCAAAATTCTTTGTGTGGAGTCCGGTTTTATTAATAGAAGATGCTTACGCGCGTAATCATTCCATATTTCGAATTCGCATTTCCTAATATGGTAGGATGAAAATACCCCGTAAAATACCGCAAAATTACGGCACTCTGTAACTTATTGGCGTTACGGTGACAGATGTATAATAAATAAATATATATATATATATATATATATATATATATATATATATATATATATATATATATATATATATATATATATATATATATATGTATATATTGTACCATTTGTACTGAATCTGTGCATAAACGCATGAGACAATGACAAAATTACCAGCAAGTTAGGGTGCCTCCATCTCCTATACTATTTCTTATAATGAGGGGATTACTCTTTATGTACATGACTCATTTGTTTCGTTGCTGTTGCGTCAGATTTATTTCTATTTGAAATTTCAATTAAGTACATAAATTGAGATACAATAGGCAAATTAACTGCAAGTAGCTCAGTGGTAGGATTTGTAGACACATTATAGCGCGATATGCTGGATAATGGCCTGCCATCATGATGCGAGTTGTAATTGATTGATGGCCTTGCGTGAACTGGTAGGCGGTCGTTTGTAATCAGATGTATGGCGAGATGATAAGTGACCGTGGGGTCTTCCGACATAAGGCACATCATTTCACTGTGGGAAACCAACATTAGCGCAACTGGGATATTTAAGTGGCGACGTTTGAATTTTGGACAGGGTTAAGAGCCTGGATTACTGGAAGTAACCGCACCTACTATGAATTAAGTCGCATGCATTTGTTTAGTTTGTTGGTTGTGGCTGTTATTTATTTATTTATTTATTTATTTATTTATTTATTTATTTATTTATTTTGATTGATTGATTGATATGTTGATTGATTAATTGATTCATTGATTCATTGATTCTTTTATTTATTTGTTGGTTGATTGATTGATTGATTGATTGATTCTTTTATTTATTTATTTATTTATTTACTTATTTATTTGTTGGTTGATTGATTCATTCATTCGTTATTTATTTATTTATTTATTTATTTATTTATTTATTTATTTATTTATTTATTTATTTATTTATTTTAATTATAATTTTAACTTACATCATACTCTTATCATTTCTATATTTTTTCTTATTATTTGCCAGGGAAAAAGATAAAAATGTTTCAAAAAATCATGAGTATTTGTCTAACTGTGTGTGTTGTAACAACGACTGCAATATACAAATGTCCGGATATCGACGGTGAGTAGCGTTTATGCCATTTCTGTCAGTATATTCTTCCTGTACTTCATTCCAGTCACTCTTAACAGAAGTTCAAGTTTAAACATGTGACAAATATGTCAATAAAGGCAGTTCTGAGTTTGGGGAGAGGCGTCACACACTCGAAAATACAATATTTTTTAATATATGTCGTTTTTAAGGTTTTTTTCTGTTATTTTAATTTTTCTCAGGGCCTGTATATGACGCTATTCTGGGTGGTCTTATAATTCCAACCGGACATGACGCGTACCTGCCGATACGGTCACGTGTGTATATTAACAGCAGCATTGCTGTAAGAGAGTCATCAGATGTTTGTGCGGAGGCAAAGTTTGGTGGTAAGAAAAACACCAACATCAAGTCTCGTAATAGAATGAGGTTATCGCGAAAATATATTTAATTTGTTGTGGATAATTATATTACTGGTGTCAATAAACTTTTTCGAACATACTACGGAATAATCGGCTGCTTCGTTCAAAATACAGACTAAAACATGTATTATATAACACAGAGTGAGTGAGTGAGTGAGTGTATGTTCGGGTGTAGATATGTTTGGAACGAACAAAAATGTTGCTGTCATACAGACAACAAAGGACTGTCAGCAAAAAAGCTGTTCTCTGATTGGCCTGTCTGTTATAGTAGGATAGCCAATCAGACACAATCTTTTAAACAAGTTGGTATGAACCCTAACACTGAAACGGTGCATTTGTGTATGTAATTTTTAACAGTATTCGCACAATGACCTTAAATTCTTTGTTTTCCAGGTGGTGATTATAATGAAATTGCCTGCTCAAGCTTGTCGACAGTGGTGGCGTACAAAACGTGGTACTTTGTTAGTGTTGCGAACTTAACAAGAAAGTATGAAGGGTATAGTGTACGATGGTACACAACTGACGGTGGTGATAAAAATATGATTGGAGTTCCAACATCGTTACGAGTTTTAGGTAAACAAATACTTCAACAATCAGGAAGGTTTAAAGAGCGGTGGTCGTCGCACAGCGCGTGTTTGAATTCCATGGAAATGAACAATATATTTTACACGCGTTGTATACGTCGTTATGGGGACCATATCGAACAGGACGCGGCGCGACGACCACAGCCCTTTAACGAGATTTTTTTTATAGATTTTGTGTTGTATTCGTCATATGCACTTCACATTTTGGGGATTTTATTTTTTCATCAGAAAATTGGGACGAGTCTATATTTATTACGGGCACTAAGACCAGAATGACATCTGTAACGTTTGCCCTTGGTCTTATAAATATAACGGACATATCCTTCTGGGATAACAGCGGCGATGAAGTGTTCTTTCTGGAAAGTGTCAATGGCGATCAGAGAGACTGTAAAGTCCTCCGGCGGAAGAGCAATATTGTCCCCAGTCTACACAGAGGTTACATGACAGTCCTTTTATCAGGTCTTCACTGTGGTTTGGAAGGACGCCACAGAATCTCAACAACTATGAAACAACAGGGACATCTGTCGATGCACCTTGATATTGCCGGTAAGATTATTGTATCGACATATTGATGGTGATTTGATAATGGATTCTTCAGTGATTATTTTCAATGTACGTGTCTGATATGTTGAAGGCGTGTGTTTATGATGGTGAATGAGAAATGTCGTCCAATTTCCTTAGTTTTGCACATACACGTAGCAAACGTATATTGGATTGACAGAAAATTGGTTATAAAAACACCAAACATGTTTTTTATGGCATTGTGCTTATTATTATTTTTTTGAATCACAAATCATATTCTTTTCTTCACGATTTAACGTCTGTGTCTTTCAGATAATATACAAATAACGGCGCATATTGTCAAGTATCCTACCAAGTATGGTTCTGAAGCTATTGTGGAATGTACAACAGATGAGACGAGGTACCAAACATCGTGGTTCAAAGATGGTATCGAATTACAGGTAACCGGTTGTTCATTTCAGTACTACAAGTTTATATGCGTTCTAGGAAACAAACTGGTTAAAACGGGAGGGTCGTAACCTGCGCACTCACACGACAATAACAACACACACCAAAACGCAAAGGCTCATGGGTAGCTGACGCATGCGCAGGTGACGGCATCTCCGCTTTAAGTACATAAATATGTGTCTACGTAATATGCCTGTGGATATATTAGTTCCACCCAGGTGTTCGTCACTCCTCATAAATGTATACTTGTTCCGAAGTTAATCATAAGAAGGTCGCACTGACTATAATTTATATTGCTGTCTGTGACGTCAGAATTTTGGCTAGCGCGTAGACCATATCGCAATGCAAAGCCACAGTGGGATAGTTTTCATTAAATCGAACACAACTACGCCATATGCCAATCGCACAGCGCGCCTGCCGGGGCAACCTGGCGCAAGTATCCCACAATGCAATATCATTGTGTAATACTAGTATGGTCTGCACATACCCCTTAGAAAGAAGGTCTATGGTCTGCAGGGGCCGGGCGGATAAAGGATTTTTTATGGGGGGGGGGGGGTTTCCAAACTTTAAAATCGCCAGACTAAGTTAATGATTTTTTTTTTCATATTACACGCTATTTTGAACCATTTTTGGGCGCGAGAAGTGGCGTAGTAAGTTGTGTATCTGCTTATAGTGGCGAGAGTTCGAATCGCGTGTTTACATGCTCGTTATAATATACATGTAATTGTATTAACATGTACATACTTTCATTTCAGAATGAAGTCATAATTATATCAACCAATAATGGCAGTAGATTGTATATCGAAAACTTCCAGCCAATAAACCGAGGATTATACACGTGTTTGGTTGAGTGTAATTGTGACGTAATAGAGAGTCGGAGAATTCATCTCACAACCAAAGGTGATCATAATAGTTGATTATTCAATCTACATGTTGGTATACAATTTGTGTTGTGATAGACGAGTCTTGTTGTTATAGTGGGGAATTCATTAGTGTTGTCACTGGGATTTGTCTCCTCCTTGTACACTCAGACGTTGATGAAATAAGTATTATTTACACTTTTAATAAAGCAAAAATTAATATTTTCGTTTTATATTTCGGTTTGGTAGGAGAGTATGCATCACAGTGTCCTCGGCAGACTCCACCAGTGTGCTCCTGCCCATGTATGGGTGTGACATCGGCGGCCGGTTATATGCCAATAACAAATGTAGGAAAAACGGAAGGTAAGTCCACGTTTGACAATGGCCTTGCAAGTCTTAAACGAAATAGATTTGTCTGTATACGCATAATTCAACCAACATCGATTGGATAAATACTAGGTGAAATGAGTACACGCGTGAGTGTGTGTTTCTTTGTTTAGTGTATTGTTGCAATAAATGCAGAGTCATTTCATCAAACACAGAAATAAATACAGAAATGTTTCTGTACTAGGCAAGCCAGTACCTCGCGAAAGTCAGAAACCAGAACCAATAAAGGAAAAACAAGGACTGTCACAGAACATGACAACATTCCTCATCGTGATTACTGTTGTCGGATTATCTATTCCAATAGTGGTTTACGTGTCTGGCTGGTGGAACAACAGACGGGATAGGTAAGTTATAAAACAGCACCCTCTGCCGACGGCTGGTGGTCCACGATTGCGCAATATTGAGTGGTACACTCGACTTCGACGAGAGGTTATTCCTATTATAATATATCAGCATTGTTTTCACGTGATTTAGCGCAAAGACACAAATACCAACAAACGTGAATGGAGTAAAATACAATAGGATCTGGAGCTAGCATCTCTGAAAAAAAAATTATTATCAATTAGTGGGTTTTTTTTTACATTCTTGGGCCTACATTAGAAATGTACAATGTATAAAAATGATTCATCAGCTGTATTTAACCATGACTTGCACAAATTAAAAGGGCTCGATCGTCACGAGCACAGTGGCCAATGACATCACTTGAAAACGTACAATGTTATTCAATCGGCCAAGGGAAACCTCTCGTTTCAGTTCGAATTATGAAATTTATCAATATTTATAAACATGAATGCCTTTGTTGCACCGGGACTAACACTATAACAAAATGTATTATTGTTATTCACAGGTGGAGCTGTCGATTCGTTCCCCGGGAGAAAGGAACACCTGTGTGAACGTTTTACTCAAAATTGAGATGGTTGCCAACACGTACTCATATTAGTTCATCCAATCACTCACCAGTCAGAACAGTTCGTTATGATGTGTGCTTGGGAAAAAAGTTGTCACAGTGTTCACGTATAGGTGAATAGACATCCCACGTATAGACCATTTCCCGTTCACTGCGAGATTCCGCATTATGTTTGCAACAGAACGTAAAACCCGGACAAACAAAGGTCATATAAAGGGATGTCAAAACATCGCGTGGGGTCGCGAAACCTACACACATTTAATGATGGTCAATTTTGTTGAAATCGGGGTATCTCAGCGATATAGTCCCCCTGAAAGATTAAAACCTGTCGGCTTTGAGCTATAATTAGAAGAAATTTGAGTTCAAAATAAAATCATTCGAATTTCGTGGCAGACGTTCGGTCCGCGACTTTCATGAAATACGCGAGATCTCACAGTGGACGGAAACACACCTATGGGCGAATGCGTGGGTCAGCAGTGACTGAATATATATTGAACAAAACAAACATTCCGTACGGGATGTATATTATTGTAATAATCACTACTTTTGTACTTAAACTGTACACATGACAATACATATATATTTATATTAGTAATTTTACTTAAATGAAGTACAATATTCTTAGTAAAATTTACACCTGTTGTTGAGAATGATGGACTCTCCACGAGTAGGTACAAGAAGTTTAAAATTAAAATTATTATCAATAAAAAACACAAAATCATTAACAGTGGCCTTATAAACATCCATTTAATTCATAGTGGGGTGAGCGGAGTAGGCCGGTGCTTATTTTTATTACTGTTTACAAGTTTGACTACCTGTTCTAATGTGTCACACTTGGAAATGAGTGTTGTGGCATGTGGCAAATGTTCAACTACCTTGGGTAATAAGATACGCTAGAAACAGGTAAACATGTATACATGTATGTACATTTATTATTGTATTATGGAACTTTTATTAAATACTGAGTTTGAGTATTTTTACATTGTTTGATATAGCAAATTTTTTGGCTTTAAGCCACGTCTATAAATAGACATGTTGTTGACAAAAGAGCGAACGTGATAGAAAACATTACTTTATTACCTAGCTCTATAATGTTAACTTTCGGCCAATTCCCGCCTACGGTTCAGCATCCTACCGAGCCTATTAATAGGACGCGCAACTATTTTAGCGTCAGTCTTTACCGCGTTGTTGTGTTTAACGTTTGCTTACATGTTACATTATGGTAAATTCTCCGTATATATAAGTGGATGTACTGTATTGACGTAATAAACTACTCTACTTGTTTATTACTTACGCATACGATTGTTGTGATTGATTCATTTCGTACTTATTTTGGATATAACCCAGTCACGAATCATAACACCACAGTACGAAGCCAGTGAATTTGATTCAAGCAATGGAAACTGCATCTAGTACATATATGAATACGAGGGAGAGGGAGAGCGAGGGGAGCCCGTACCAGTTACATTGTTGCAAATGAGAATATTATTATCAAACATATAATAAAGCGTAAAAAGATAACAACTAAAACTGTCATATGCATTAATGGGATTAACTGTGTTAGAGATTATAACCGACGTTACGCATAGAAATTTGGATTTACTTTTGTTTCAAACAAAAGTTGCATATTACCGTTTTCTGAGACCTATGCTAAAAGGCGGACATCGCAACTATTTTAGAAAACCATTTTTTTTATTCGATCATTGGAATTTGACATCGTCCCAGCTTTGACACCGCTTTTCCAAAAATAGGCGATGCTAATGGGCGTGGTTTTCAAAGTTTGAAATCATAGTTCGGTTTAAAATGGGATATAATTTTCACCTTCAAAAGGTCAATGACGAAGTCTAGGTTTGGAAGTTTGAGCAACACATGCCCATGAAGCTAAAACAAAGCAGTTCCTAACAAATCAGTAACCCAGTGCCCCGGGGACAAGTCATCCAATCCCGACGAGTCGCGATAGTGTGGGTCTACGATTTCACAGTCGAGACACAGACCGATTTGATCACATTTCACTATTCCACATGTGTGAAGCGTTCAGCGTCGTGGTGTAATTAGATGTGGCGACTTTTTTATATGTGCGGCAGTCATCGACTCCCTCCAAATAGTCGTGATCTTTTTATCCAATTTAATAGAAGATACGATTCAGTCACATGACTCATTATTTAAGATGGCAGAATTTTTAACGGACTAGAAAGACGGCAGCCTAGTCGAAATAGTAGTGAACTTTCCTGTTTATAACAAAACACATTCGGATAGATACTGAGCAGGCCTCCATAACTAGCATTGCTTAAACAAACAAACCAACCATAGTATACTGAAGTATACACGTTTTGTAATTTTGATGTGCTTTGTGAAAAAATAAACATAATAAAACCATTGACGATTTTTGTAATACTTATAGTTTACGCGTAACATAGCCAATCTCTAGCATGGTGTTGTGTTGTGATTAGAGAAGAGAATTGCATTGCTTAGTCAAATGAATACTACCCGGTACTACGTAAGCTACAAGAACAACGTTTTTCAGTTCATGATAAATCATAGCCCAATGTATTTATCAATATGCAGTGTCAAAAAAACAATATCGTTCACAATGCATCTTTAACCAAACCTGATATTTTCCTAGATCAGATCGATATTTGCGTTCTAGATAGAATCATTTTATATAATCTGCGGGGTTCCGCAAGGGTCGATTCCATGCCCAATACTATTTTTAATTTATATTAATGATATAGCCAATTCTACCAATTCCGTTCATTTTCGACTTTTTGTAGATGATACTGACCTATTTAAATTTATGTAAAACAATGAAATCAATTTCTCAGAAATTTATAATGACTTTCAAAGGTTTCGTGAATGGTGTAGTGCTAACAAACTTACTGCTATTACATGATAAATAAAACACCACAATTATAGATCACTATTGAGGGCAGCCTCGATATTAACGGGTCGCCGATAGAGGGCGTATATGTCGTGGCGTCTCTATTGACCTGAATATGTCATGGAAAGCCCACATTGATCAAATTTGCAAAGTTATTGCACCAAAAATTGGATTATTTTCACAACTACGTAATTTTGTACCTAAGCATATCCTTATTCTCTTATACAACTCCTTAATTCTTCCACACATTACATATTGCCTGGAAATCCTGGGTAATACATATGCTCCAAGCAATATATCTCTTACAGAAAAAAATAGTACGCCTTATCACTTTCTCTGACTTATTTCCATGCTGCTTCTCTTTTCCAAAAACTAAGAATATTAGACATGTTTTTCACTCTGCAAGTTAGATACCTGTTTATTTGTCTATGATCTCAGTAATAACTATTTTGTACTGTTTGGACCCATTGTAGCTTAAATTATTATACTCCAAAGCTGAATCTTACACTCAACCAACACAGTCTAAAATACTCTGCAACAAAACATTGGAACTCATTGTGTGATGCATTTACTACCATCACATACATATTAAGAGATACATATTTAAAAAAAAAGTTAAGAAAACTATCTCTTCAATATTTCATTTGTAATATTTTTCATATTTTATTTGAAGATTTGTGTGATTAAACTATAAAAATTATATATACAGGGGTTACGGACCCGAACAGTTCTGATGAACTATATCTGTAATCCACACCCAAAAAAGGGTATATGACTTAACCTACACCAAATTGTGTTTTTTTTTTCAGAGTTAAAATATAGCTCCTTGTTTATGTGAATTTAATGATCTTCATTCAAAATTGTCATTTCAACTCCCTTTTTATACGTGTAATAAGCTTTTAGTAAATATACATTGACTTTTTCGACATTCCGTCGCGTTGCTAGTTCCATTATAACTGACACCCATGCATCATCGTCAGCCCACTGTGGGGGATTCTTTAAATAATATAATATTGGTGTTACCGCCATAAAATAACACGTTTTTTTTTTGTTCTTCACGAGTTCGTCCTTTTAGTTGCAAACTGATCAAATTCGATTAATAACACAGAAAGCAACTAAAAAAAGAATGTATGCATGTCTAACAATGTGCGATATTTGTCCATGGAACAATAAACTCGTCAGAGCAATTCATAACCAAATAATTCGTATATATGTTATACATTATGAAACAAATATATATATCCACATATATTCGTTTTATATTTCAGTTAGTACAGATATTTCCTCCGGGTTATCATTTGGTCACGTTATTTACACCGTCTTTTCGCCAAATATTATTATCTAATGAAATTTCAAATCTAAATTAAATTGAATTCAATCAGGATAACAAAAATAGCAAATTAACCACAATCCGTGTATGGATATATATATATAGTGTGTAAATACAACATATTTCTATTATTGAGTTACAATTGTCCAAAAAATTGCCAATTTTGTGTTTTTACTTGTGTAAACTATATGCATGCCATAACCCGTTAGTGTACATCTTGCCAATTGGATGTTTGCCATTTGCGTTGCCCATACCTGACCCGACCCTAACCCTAATGTCAAGACACGTTCCTGTTAATAATTCCGTTGCCCATACCTGACCCGACCCTAACCCTAATGTCAAGACACGTTCCTGTTAATAATTCCGTTGCCCATACCTGACCCGACCGTAACCCTAATGCCAAGACACGTTCCTGTTTATAATTGCTCAATAATGATACTCTGTTGTGCACTGTCTGCGGGTAAGTTGCATTGATGTCAACTGATTAAACAAGTCGCGTTTAAGTAATTTCCACTATTAACAAGTGGTTAAATTGTGACAATAAATGTGTGGACAAATATTTGAGATTAATTTTGGTGTAGACAACTCTCGTTTAATTATTTTACACCATTACAAGTTGTTAAATTGAAAGAATAAATGTGCGGACAAATATTTTAGACTTATTTTTGTGTAGACATCTCTCGTTTGATTAATTCCCACAATTACATGTTGTTAAATTGAGAGAATAAATGTGCGGACAAATATTTTAGACTTATTTTGGTGTAGACAACTCTCGTTT